TGGCAGCCTCCAACGTTTGACACAATAAAGGCCAAGCCTGTTGCAAAGATTTACAACTTTCATCAGCATCCCCAGGCTGTAGAGGCTTCCCCCCCCCAAGAAAGGCAAGGGGGGCTGTCATAGCCCGATACTGCTTTAAAAGGTGACATACCAATGGAACTATGCAACGTATTATTATAACAGTACTCAGCCAAAGGTAGCAGTTCACACCAGTCATCTTGTTGATAGTTTGTAAAACACCTTAGATATTGTTCTAGTGTTTGATTAACCCGTTCTGTTTGGCCATCAGTCTCTGGGTGATAAGCACTGCTTAGCCCCTGCTCCACCCCTATAATGGTCATGAGTTCCTTCCAAAATTTGGAAACAAATTGGGTTCCCCTATCTGAAATCACCTTTGAGGGCAACATATGTAGGCGTACAATGTGCGTAAGAAAAGCCTTAGCTAACATTCGTGCAGTGGGTAGAGAAGGGAACGGAACGAAATGGGCTTGTTTAGAAAACAAATCAACAACCACCCAAATAACAGTCCTCCCTTTGCTGGGAGGCAAGTCAGTAATAAAATCCATGGAAATAACGTCCCACGGCCTCCCAGGGGTTGGCAAAGGTTTCAACAGTCCAGGGGTCTTCCCCCCCCCCTTGGTTTAGTAAGCGCACATAACTGACAGGTGCGCACAAAGTCCAAGAGATCTTTGCGCATGTGCGGCCACTAGCACTGGCAGCGGAGTAATTGCAGGGATTTCACAAACCCCGAGTGCCCCGCCAGCTTGGTCCCATGAGCAGTTTCCATCACGGCCCTGCGGAGAGAAATAGGCACATAGAGTTTTTCTCTGGCATACCACAGCCCATCGGGGTCCTGTTTACAATCCTGCACCCCCCGCACAATAGCCTTGTCCTCCGAAGAGAAATTTTCACTATAGCGGTCCCTCCAAGTACTCGAAGGAGGCGGAGGGGAGGGGAACACAGGCGATGGCAGGGGCGTGGGAAATTTCTTAGCTTGGCTCCGAGTAATAACCGCTCCACCCAGCTGGGCGGGGGTGAAAATTGAGTCAATGATGACGTCTTGCTGACTCGCATGTTGCGGGAGGCGGGACAAGCCATCAGCCAGCGAGTTGGCCGAGCCGGGGAAATGGTGCAAAGTGAACTGGAACTTAGAGAAAAAATCTGCCCAGCGCAGCTGCTTTGCGTTCAAACATTTGGGTGATTTTAGAGTCTCTAAGTTTTTATGGTCAGTCCAAACCTCAAATGGCATTCTTGCCCCCTCCAGCCAATGGCGCCAGGAACACAACGCCAAACGGATTGTCGACGCTTCCTTCTCCCACACCGACCAGTGGCGCTCAGCCTCAGAAAACGTTT